ACTTCACTAGTAATCACTTCGTCCTTTTTCAATGTAAATTTGCACGCTAAAATAGCATTTGCCTTTATATTGCCATTTTTTTCGCGAACACTTCTCAAATGTGCTGTTGACAGTTGTTATGCACCATTGAGAAAGGAAGTTGGATCTTTATGTTAAAGATTGATTACAATGCCCGTGCGAATACGACTGTGAAAAGCTGATGGTCCATCTCTTCAGCGTACACGATCTGCAAGCGCTTCTTCTTCTCTGCTATGCGATGGCACCTGCACACGACCACCTTGATGTTGTCTATTTGTGAATCCCTCGTGATAACCCTGAATTCGAGCAATGGTAGAAAGAATTTTATTTTTCTCACCAACCGATAGTTGATTTCGTCTTTTCAAAACTCGAGTATAAAATTTAATATAGTAACCACATCGATCAATCCATTGCTGAATGTGTTGAGATTGTGCATTTTGATAGGCATGTTGGAAAATTTCAATTATTCTGGAACAGCGCACAATGCTGCTACGTTCCATCTTGAAATAAGGCTAACAACCCCTAGGAAAATTCAGATCAATTTATATCATTGCTTGTTGGAGTTTCAATGAGCCATAAAGTTTCAGTTGGATCGATTAATTGTCATTTCTTCATCAATTTCTCAGGAGTATGCAGACGGTTCATTTTCCGAGAAAAATTCGACCGTTGGATCGATTTATTAACATTTCTTCATGAATTTCTCGGAAGCTTGGTGGCAGTTGAGTTTCCGGGAAAAATTTGACCGTTGGGTGGAGATTGTCTAAATTTCTTGGAATTGCCGTTCGATTGCAATTATAAATGACAATTGCATTCCCCCTCTACTTGCGAAGAGCCTATAAGTAGCTGGAGTAAAGCAACTGATTCATCATCCAGTCTCCAATCTATAAGTGCAGTCACACGAAATTTTCTAAGACGAAGTGAATCGAGGAGAGAACCAAATAAATCACAATGGAGAAGCAAGCCCTGGATCTCGATGACATCAACAGAATTGCAAGTCGAGGGAATTTCCTGCCAACCAAACGTCGAACGGAGCTGTCACTCAACCAGAAGTATTTAGTCACCGATCTGAAGGTGATCTCAACTAAATTTGGCTCCAAAGTGGTTGTCGCTCTGAATGATGAGTGCATCGTGTATCTACCACCACGACTGTCCAACGCCTTCCAACAAGATCAAACAAAACTGGAGAAATACCGCGAGGCTGCTGCTGCCAAACGTCTGCAAATCACCTTCCTGGAGGGAGAGTTCAATCCATGCCTCTTCAATAACGTGGAAAACCCATAAACTATAAATTTTACTATAAAATAACCTGAAAATGGATTGTTATGAAATAAATTCGGAGAACTGACAATTAGCCTTTTTTCTTTTATTTTTACATTAAAACTTATCACACTAATTAAAAAATATAATAAAAAAACTTATTACTCTAATTACAAAATAATAAAAAAACTTCTTAGTCTAATTAAAAAAGTTCCCTCGTGTTCGATGCGGGATCTGGTTTCGGGGATATTTTCAGGCGATGGACGAGATATAATCGGATTACGGGAGAGTGCGTGAGAGAATCAAATAATCACTCGCGTGGCGTCGGTCAAAAGAGTCAATTTTAGTTAGTAAAAAGTCACTGATAACACACAATGTATCACAATAGAGCGAGCTGAGCAAAAACGCTATACAATTCAAAGAATTGAAAAGGTATTTTCGAGAAGTACTAATAATGAGCTTGTCAATTAATATAACAAAAGAGAAGTTCCGAGAAAAACACGTCAACACTCGCGAACGACGATATGCAAATGAGAGAGAGTGATAAGCCGCAAGGTGGGAGGTGTCGATCATCGCGATGGTCAATTACACCTATCAATCAAGTGGCGCCTCAGGTGGCAGAGGTGAAAGGCCACTCGTCATCTGAGGTGAGCGAGTCAGTCAGCTGAGTGGGTCATGTGTGTTTGTGAATGTGTGCGAGTGTGTGGAAGAATAATTCGGTGGAAAACCTAACATTCTCCCCAGCCGTCAGCAACTGCTGACGTTTATGAGATGACCTAGAACATAAAAGAGATTAACCGAGCCAGGGCAAGAATTACTCGCTGGTCAAAGTCACCACTGGAGTCCATCAGCGATGATCAATTGCCAGCACAGCCAAGATCGTTGGACGCGTAAATTCCGCAGATCCAGGTTGACTGGCTTCCGCTCCAGCCCAGGCTTCAAGATGAAGGGCGTAAATCTTCATCAAGGTCTGGTCAAGAACGGAGCAGCGATGAACTCAGTCGTGAAGACGAACTACCGATGAGCAGCATGATGCTCCTGAGAAGATCTTCGTGAGCTGGTCTTGTAGATCAGAAGTCGCTGGTCGATATTGGTAGAAGGGCAAGCTTAGAGATGGGCCGCTGAAGAGTAGAGCTGGACGTCTTGATGGTTACCACCCTGGTGAGCCCATCTCCACCAGGATGGAGAGCGGTAACTCGAGCGAGAGGCCATTTCGTTGGTGGAAACCTCTCGTCGGTGAGAAGGACTATAGAGCCGATCTTGATGTCGTGAGATGGGTGGTGCCACTTGGAGATGGACTGGAGATGCTGAATATAGCTGGTGGACCACCTTTTCCAGAAGCTCTGAACTTTCTGCTGGATGAGTTGCCAACGAGTTAAACGAGCGATGTTCGAGTTGTCCAGCGAAGGTTCAGGCAGAGCTGTCAGAGTATGTCCAATTAGGAAGTGTCCTGGAGTGAGAGCTGAGACGTCATCAGGATCTTCCGAGAGCGGTTCAAGTGGACGAGAATTGAGCGCGGCTTCGATTTGAGCAAGCAGGGTGGTTAGTTCCTCGAATATAAGCAGGTCTTCTCCAATTGTCCGTTTGAGATGGAACTTAACCGACTTCACTGCTGCTTCCCACTTTCCTCCAAAGTGAGGAGCATCTGGTGGGTTGAACGACCACTTCGTTCCGTCGTTGAGCAAGAGATGAGCAAGCTGGTCCGATTCCTTGGACGCCATTGAGAAGAGCTTTTTTATTTCTTTGTCGGCTCCGAGCAAGTTTGTACCACAATCTGAGAACAAATTCCTACAGAGCCCGCGCCGAGCAACAAAACGACGATACGCTGCCATGAAGCCGTCAGATGTATAATCTGAGACGACTTCGAGATGAACCGCGGACGTAGCCATACAAACGAAAATTGCGAGCCATCCTTTACAAGATTTATGGCCACGTCCTTTCCATGAGCGGAGCGAAACTGGACCGGCATAATCAACCCCTGTATTGAGAAATGCACGGCCGGGTGAGAGACGAGCTACTGGGAGCTGACCCATGACTTGTTGAGCTCTTATTCCTCGCTATCTTGCGCATGGAACGCACTTTAAAATGAATGATCTTACTGGTGCTCTTCCACCAACAATCCAGTAAGATCGTCTGAGCTGACCAAGCGTGAGCTGCGTTCCACCATGAAGAGTCCTGAGATGAGCATCCTGAATAATGAGCTGAGCAAACTGAGACTCCTTCGGAATGATAGCTTGATGTTTGCTATCATTGTCGAGCTGAGCAAACTTGAGACGTCCGCCAACGCGAAGAATCCCCTGGTGATCAATATGCGCTGTCAATCAAGTGAGCGGATGAGAAGGTCTAAGTTTTTGCCCTCTGGTCAAGGTCATCAGTTCGGACGAGAAATGCGCTGACTGACTAGCCTTGATCCAGAAGAGACGAGCTTGTTCAATATCACTAGGGTTGAGAGCTATCTTTAACGAAGATCCTGGAATATTTCTGAGACGAGCAATAAAACGTTGCCAGAGAGCAGTAATTCTGAGCAGCTTACTGAGCGAGGAATAGCGATGTACTAAATCCCAGATCTCTGGGCGCTGGACTTTAACGTTGAGCACTACACCAGGTTTCTCTTCAAGATCAGCTGATGCCACTGAAGAGAGTTCCAGAGATGGCCAATGAGATGAGCTCTTCTTGAGCCATGATGGACCCTGCCACCATAGCTTGTGCGATGCGAGTTGAGATGTCGTTAATCCACGAGATGCGCAATCAGCTGGGTTCTCCTTGCCAGGAACGAGCTCCCACTGAGCATCCGTCAATTCCTGAATGAGCTGGACACGATTTCTAACGAACTCCTTCCATCTGGAAGGGTGAGAGCTGATCCATGTAAGCGAAACTGAAGAGTCGGTCCATAAGTACGTAGGCACATTCGAGAAGTTGAGCTGGTCTTTAACGTACTTTACAAGCTTAGCAAGAAGAACTGCAGCTGAGAGCTCAAGCCTTGGAATAGTCAGCCGTTTGAGAGGAGCTACTTTAGTTTTCGAGCAGACCAATGATATGCGATGCTTTTCATTATTATTGAAGACCTTGAGAAAGACCACGGCTGACATCGCGAGCTGAGAGGCGTCTGAGAATCCGTGTAATTCTACTACGGAGTTCTGGAGCAGTCCAATCCATCTGGGTATGGATACGCTGGACAACGAGGTGAGATCCTGACGAAAACTATTCCATCGATGTGCTACTTGAGGCGAAACTTCATCATCCCAACCAAGCTTTTCAATCCAAATCTCCTGTAGGAGCATCTTTCCTCTGATGACTACAGGAGAGAGAAATCCGAGAGGGTCGTATAGCTGAGCAATTTCTGACAGAATAATCCGCTTGGAGACGGTCAAGTTCTGCGATGGTTTGGTTGAGAAGACGAAGTTATCTGAGTTGGGCTGCCAGGATAACCCCAGTATTCTGGTCTCTGAGTCCTCGTAGATTCGCTGGTCATTTGAGGTGTGGTCAGGATCGAGCCATCTGAGAAGGTCTGAGCTGTTTCTATGCCATTTTGCCAAAGGCATCCCTCCAGCAGCACAGAGATTGCGAACATCTTCAGCGGTTTCTACGAGTTCGTCATGCGTATCTGCACCTCCACAGATGTCATCAACGTATCTTCCCTTCACGATGGGATCGACGGCCAGCGGAAATCTGTGCCCTTCATCCTCAGCGAGCTGGAGAAGAACACGATTCGCGAGAAACGGAGCTGATCTAGTCCCATACGTGACGGTGGTCAATTGATACGTTGAGAGTCCTCCATGTGAGTTGGTCCATAAAATCTGCTGCAGAGGCCAGTCATCTTCATGGACTCTGATCTGACGGAACATCTTCGTGATGTCCGTCATGAAGATGACCTTGTGCTGCCTAGTCCAGAGAAGAACATCAGATATGTCGCGCTGCAGCTTGGCCCCTGTATGGAGAATATCGTTGAGCGATTTCCCTGAGCTGGTCATCGCTGATCCATTGAAAACTACTCTCAGTTTCGTTGTTACGCTGCTCTCTCTAACTACGCCATGATGAGGAAGGTAATAACTCCTGCGAATGCCAGATGGTCCTACTCGAAGCTCCTCAGAGACCCTCAACCCTCCTGAAGCCTGAGCTTCATGTGCCAAGGTCATCCCGTCAGAGCAACAAGCGGTCTCCACCTGAACCGAAGACGAAGAGCTAACAAGAGAAGGAACTATCAACCTCATATGATCGAGATCGACATATTCTTTGAGAAAGTCAGAGTAGAGCTGAAAGAAGCGCTGATCTTTGGAAATCCTAGCGATAATCCGATGGAGACAAGCTAGAGCTGGGCGATAAGAATTTCCTAACAACGAAATTGGAGATGAGAGGGGCAATCGAATGATGTAACGACCTGAGCTGTCTCTAGAGTGAGTCTGACGAAAATGCTGCTCACAGCTAAGCTTGTCAGCTGAGAGGTTCGAGTCGACGCGTCCAGGAACTTCTTCCTGGATCCAAAATTCAGCGAGAAGATCTTCGAGCTGATCCTTAGAAACCTCTGAGACAGCCAGGTGTTGAGCGAGTCGAGTAAGAGCTAACGCTGAACCTGTAGAGCCGAACACAATCCAGCCGAAAGATGTGAGCTGAGCAACTGGAGCATCTGCTCCCTGTTTGATGATGCTGGGCTTGATGATTCGACCAAATACATCAGCGCCGATGAGCAAATCAATTGGAGCAGGGACTCGAAAATTCGGATCCGCTAAATTGAGATCATTGAGATGATCCCACTCGAGATCCTCTGCTGAGAAGGTCGGTAGAGATGCCGTGAGATGATCAAGAGAATGAGCGATAACTTCGATACGTTCTGCTGAGTAGATCGATTGTAGCGGGAGATGAACCTCGCCGGACGTTGTCCCAAACGACGACTCACCCACACCAGAAATGTGGATGGAGCTACGCTGCTTCTTCAGCTTCAATTGACGCACGAGAGATTCCGAGATGAGCGATAGTTCTGAGGATGAGGAGCTGGCGTACTTTGGATGACCTCCCCAGCACTATTATAAGTCACTGAGAGTACTCCTAAAAACTGAGCAGGTCTGGTAGGTTGCTGCGGCTGAGGCTGAGGCTGTGTGGAGACAGTCTGATGAGCAGGTCGTGTCTGAGCAGGGCGACGAGAGCGATCCAGATGGAGAAGTGTGTGATGCTTCTCCTGGCAAGTCGTGCACGTACGAGATGTCTGGCAGACTCTGATGCTGTGCTTCCCCAAGCAGTTGTAGCACAGGTAGAGTTTGTCGACGACTTGCTTCCTTGCGATGGGCGAGAGAGCTTTAAATTCGCTGCAAGAGGCGATGTAATGGTCCCTCTTGCAGTACGAGCACGGGTAGCCAGCGTCAGCCCAAGATGTCGATTGTGTGGACTGTATTTTTTGAGAAGGGCCATGAAGTTGCTGAGCCGACTGCTGAGAAGGACGAGAGGCTGACATCTGGTTAACCTTGGCGCTGGTCTTTGTCATGGATCGAGTCTGAACGGTGGGTTGAGAAGGACGAGATGAGCTTGCTGAAGAGAGCGACTGCGAGCCAACCTCCAGAGTCTCCATGGATCGAGAGCGACCTTGGAGGAAATCAAGGAGATGGTGAAGAGAAGAATATTCAGTGGAGGCGCCGATTTTATTCTCCCAAGCTTCCCTGAGTTTGCTCGATAGCCGACGAGTGAGAACGTGAACAACCACTGGACCCCAATGATCAGTTGGCTGATCCAGAGCCTTGAGAGCGCTGAGAGCTTCAGTGATCGAGCTGGTCAAGAGATTGAGGTCCGAGGCGCTGTGCGATTTCATTGGAGCTGGATTCAAGAGCTGGTCAAGATCAGCTGCAACGAGTAAACGCTTGTTCTCGTAGCGATCAACGAGAGTTCTCCAGGGAATGCGAAATGATTCTTCAGAGACGGGCAAGTTAGAGATGAGCTTGAGAGGCTCACCAGAGAGACAGACGCGGAGGTAGTGCATCCTCTCGACCCCTGGAATGTCCTGATTGGAGCCAACTAACGATTGGAAAAGATGTCTCCATGGCCTCCATTCCTGATAGATGCCTGAGAATTTTGGCAGAGAAATCTCAGGCAGAGCACGACGATTTGAGCTGGTCAAATGTCCTTCCCCAGGTACACGTAGTGACTGGTTCAGGTTTGGAGCGCCTTTCTTCTCCAAAAGCTGAAGTAGAGCCACCTTAGCACCAGCGAAGTTCTTAAGAGCTGAATCAAAAACTTGATGCTTGAAATAGTCGAGAGAGGTCAAATTCTCGATTTTTTGAGAAACAAGCTTCTCATGAGAGGCTTCCAGCTTAGCCCAATAGGTCTCAAGCATCATCAGTTTGGAATCGAGAGCAGTCACGCCGAGCTGCTTAATGTCCTCTTCATTAGACTCCTTAAAAATGCCTTCTATGAAGGCTGCACGTATCGTCTGCACAGAGATTACCGCTTCGAGAGTTGCCAAGTTTTTTATTAATTTTAATAGTTTTAAGCGAAGAGCGAAATAAAAATAAAAAAAGCAAGAAAGCAGATCGAGAGAAGAGTCCAAGGACGCAGGTCAATAACAGAGGAGAAAGCAGCGGAAAATAATAAAACAGAGACGGCAGCAAAAAACCCAGTTCCGGAGCAAGCGAGAAAATTCAACAAAAACTAAAAAGGAATAATGTTCACTTCCCTTTAGTCGCGCTGGTCTATTTGAATTTCCCGCCTTGAGATGGTCTTTGAAAGTGCGCCTAGTTGCTGGGTCGGTAGAGCAGGCCTCTGATGTAGCGCGAGAGAAACTGGTTGAGTACCGCTTGAGCTGGACGAATTCAAATTTTCTCGGGTGGCGACACTGCACTTTGCGCTCCACTGAACACTGAACACTGACGCTGTCCAATTAACACTCCCGTAAAACACTAAATGAGCGCGAAAACAAAAAAATATCCCGTGTATCCGGCTCGAAGGACCAAAATGTTCGATGCGGGATCTGGTTTCGGGGATATTTTCAGGCGATGGACGAGATATAATCGGATTACGGGAGAGTGCGTGAGAGGATCAAATAATCACTCGCGTGGCGTCGATCAAAAGAGTCAATTTTAATTAGTAAAAAGTCACTGATAACACACAATTTGTTACAATAGAGCGAGCTGAGCAAAAACGCTATACAATTCAAAGAATTGAAAAGGTATTTTCGAGAAGTACTAATAATGAGCTGGTCAATTAATATAACAAAAGAGAAGTTCCGAGAAAAACACGTCAACACTCGCGAACGACGATATGCAAATGAGAGAGAGTGATAAGCCGCAAGGTGGGAGGTGTCGATCATCGCAATGGTCAATTACACCTATCCAGCAAGTGGCGCCTCAGGTGTCAGAGGTGAAAGGCCACTAGTCATCTGAGGTGAGCGAGTCAGTCAGCTGAGTGGGTCATGTGTGTCTGTGAATGTGAGCGAGTGTGTGGAAGAATAATTCGGTGGAAAACCGAACACCTGGAGATCTGTTTGCAACTGGAACATACGAAATAAATTTCATTAGTTTTAAAATAAAAAAGATAATCAGAGAGAAATGAATTTTACCTACTTCACTTGCCATAGTGCTGCTGCGCGTCAAGGATCAGCACGGCGGCTGCCGCGATGCCCTGCGCGTGAGGCAACATCTCCAGGGCCTCATTTTCTCGACCCATCAGCAGCAAAAAGTTGAGGAACTTCCTCATCTCCTGGTGAAGCTGCGATTCCTGTTAACAGAAAAATTGATAATATATATGTATTAAGTCCAGAAGGAGGAGCAATACATTATAATTGATTATTAGTATTTTACCTTGTTGGCGAAAAAATTATGACCCAGGTACGCCATGAATTTAATAATAAAATCCATGTGTACCTGGAGACGTTCCACCAGGCTCCAGTACCTGGTGAGGTCCTCCCCAACCCTCTCAACCTCCCCCAACCGCCAATCCTCCATCCTCCCGTCATCCTCCTCCCACTCCAGCCTCATCTGAGGATCCGGGAAAACGTACACTTCAAGTTTCACTGAAACATAAAACACAATCGTCAATTATTATAATACAATGATGACACTATGAAATTCACTAAAAATTAAAAAATGGGCGAAGTGTTGACACTGCACCCCAGTGATCCACATTATGACGAATATATGTGGACTTAATCCACAAATATTCGGGTTAGTTTATATTACAACATTTACATTCTTTGATTCGATTTTACGTTTTGGATAATATGTACCACTTCGCGTGTCGTCATATTATCCAGGTCAATGAGAAATTACCTAATACTATTTCTTAATTTAATGTTATTTCTGCGGCATAAAACCCATATAAGCCAAGCTATTCTACAATTTGACGGTATCACTGCAGTCCATCTCACACTCGTTGGAGTTCGCACAATTCTGGTGAAAAGCAACGATTTTTATATATTTATGCAAGAACCTGTGGCTGAAGGAAGTGAGTGTGGAACATCTCCCGATTGCAGCTCCTGTGAGGGTGGGACTTCCCCTGAACGTGATTCACACAATGAGGATGGTGGTAGTGCAGATATTGGGACGCTGGAGGAAATGGTGGCTGTGGCAATTGGTGTCCTCAGCTCATTTTTCCATAGTATATAATAAGCAATGAAAAAATTGGTTGTGGATGGGGCGGAGAGAGGGAAATAGCCAGTGAAGAAACACACGAGCCCAGAGGAGGGGATACTGCACACCTCCGCTCTGAACGTAAGAGTGATTGGACTATCAGAAATTATCCAATCATCATTTGTACAAGAACAGCATGGCATTCATCATTGATTTGCAAGGATTCCAAAAACGAGGAGAATTTATCATAAAAGAATTGAATGCAGTGGCAGTGCAACAGTCGCCAGACATTGAAGAATCTCTCTCCAACAACATCCTCTTTCAACCACCATGTGCCTGGAGTGATCTGGAGATGCAGGATATTATAACCAACAGGTGGCCAACTCGTAATCATCATGGAATACAATGGAGTGTTGGTGGTTGTGGTTATAATAACATTGACAAAGTTTTTCACAGTTTTCTACTGAATAGTCGAAAAATGTATGTGAAAGGCTTAGAGAAACAGCACTATGTGGAACAACTGCTTGGTGATTCCTACCACGTTGTAAATTTAGAAGATTATAATTGTCCAAAGATCGACAATTGTTTCTTCAAAGAAAATGCCCATCCGCACATTCATCGACACATTAAGACAGCGCAGGAGTTAGTTTGCTGTGCTTCGGTGAATCTGCACCGCTTGAAACATTGGTTCCAGAGTAGTCATCAAAAATTCGACAATAGTGAAAAAGATTTTAATGAACTTTTTGATTGAAAACTCAGACATTTTTACTTCACTTATTATCTTAAAATCGGTCTTTTGTCTTGACTTGCAAAAATGGAAAAATATATTTACACATTCTAAAAACTATTCTCATGTTCATTTTTACAAACCTTACATTTCGATTCAATGTAGAAAAAAATTCCCTTTTTCCAATTATTATTATTATACTTCTTCTGTTGTATCATATCATTTTTTCGATCCATTGAATAGGCATTCACTCCACTTCGAAACCACGCATCCAAGCGGCTGAGTGTTTTGTTTATACGGCGCGTACGTGCTCATCGGTAAACACATAAACACACAGAAAGCATTCGACAATCACCAAGTCTCAGGAAATTTTATTGAAAAATTAAATTGATTCGTGTCTGTTTTATTATCATTAATTGTTATCCAATTAGATAAAGTAATTGATGTTCCATTCAAATTGGAAACATTCAGTTCAAAAGTGCACAATTAATTTCTGTTTTGTTCAATGTCATGAGCATTCAATGTAAAAACCCAAAAAAGAAAGATCTTTGCAAATTATTACACTTGTGTTATGTTGCGTGGTATCATCTTCTGCAGACTATGGTGGAATATTCATTCCACTTCGAAAACAATTCACTGCGCATCCAAGAGGTCGAGTGTTTTGTTTATACGACGCGTACGTGCTCACCGGTAAACACACGCGACCACGTGAGCGGTGGACCAGTTCGCGCTTCAATCTCAATGCGAGAGATAGAGAGAGTGAGAAGTATCGAGTTTAAAATCATTCTTCAGATTTAATAAGAAAAAAAAATTCGTCTTTTTCATTATTAGTTTCTACTACTCATGATGAGTTTGAAGACGAAATTTCAAAATCATGAATTAATTTGTTGTAATTAGGATTATTGAGGTGGACTGTAGACTGCCAAATTCTCCTACATCTATACAAACGTATCTGTAGTTGGCGTCAACAACAGCTTGTAGAACAACCGAATAATACCATTTGAAGTTATAATCCAATTTCCCAGACTGAGAAGGCTTTTTCATGTTGACATGACGCCCATCAATGGCTCCAATGCAATGTGGAATTTTCCATTTAGTTTCAAAATTCTGAGATATTTTAATGAAGTCGGTGATGGAAGGAACTGTCATATGTGTATACCAGTGTCGACCATAGGACATCCACCGTCTCAGATACAATTACAGAAATGGTTTTGATTCCCATTTTGAACGAAAACGTTAAATCCGAATACGTATTTCCTGTCGCAAGAAACCTGCAGAGTGATAACCTACAATTAATATACATATAAAATAAACCGAAATTCGAACTTACTTTATTTCCAAATCCAAGGTTTGAGTCACCATTAAAAAATTACCTGAGCGTCAAAACCAATCTTTCTTCTGGCATAATCGGTTGAGTGTGTAAGTTACACCAATTGTTGATAAGCGATGGACTAATTTTTGAGAGAATATAGTCAAATGTAGAGACAGTAATTCTCGTATACTCGATGAATTTATCAGGATACTTCCTTAGCGCAGGAAACAAGTTGACGTACTCTCCATTAATAAAGCGACTCATATTGAGTCCGGGAGTTCTATTACCACTCTTTCGGTTTATTGAATCAGAATTCATTATCAATGATCCCAAGTGATAGCGCAGTATAAAACAATTCCCCTAAAAGCAGAATAGTTATTTTCTTTCATTGAACGTTTGAGTTTATCTGATTATTACATTTCGCCTCCAAACTCAATAATCTCATAGATATAAATGAAAATATGGCAACTCACCTCTCACGTTCGCAATAGAGTAATACCCGTTGAAACCGCCATTTTCATTGACAATTCGTAACAGTCGAAATAAATTGCACTATTACAATCTTTAAAAAACAGAAGTATACTTACTCGATACACGGATGCTCGCCGCCACTTAATCCCACTCGGTGCCAATGTAACCCTTGCACCGATTCTCGTCGAGGTTTTTTATTCCAGATGGCTGGTCTACGTTGGACTTCGTCTATAAGCAATGGCACTTTACCCTCGTCCGTTTCCAACAAAACACTGTCACAAGTCTAATCACAGTTAGCCGGGAAGCGTGTTTCAACCTGTGTGGCATGCGGACCACGTTTTGTCGGGCTGTGTGCGCACGAGCTCAGTCGTTAATTGGTCGGTAACGAAGGTATACTCTGAATATCGAGTTGACCGAATGTAGATCGATGGAGCACAAGAACAGCTCATGCGCAAGCGAAGTTGATCAGTGTACAGACCGGGTATGAGTCATACACATAAGGATTGAACACAATTATGTTTGTGCACAGATGTAAAAATCAAATGAAATATGCACATTTGATTTTTAAACGTGCACATCAAATTTGTCCACGGAATTTCGCTCCATTAAGTTGTACACAGTGCTATTTTTCTGCGTGCACATAAGATAGGATGTGTACAAAAAAA